TATTGTTGACCTGTGCTGACTCCAAAATGTGGAAGAGCTTTTAAACAAATGACTAAAATTTAAAGTGATGTCCAGACATTAATATCAGAATTAGTTAATAAAGGGGAGTCCGTTGATCTTGTGTCATCAGGAGACAAAAAGTTGAGGAAAAATAGTCTCCTGACAACACTAAGGGATGACAGATCAAGAAGAAGGAGTTCTTCAGTCAATCTTTGGACACAGCAATGGGTCATTTTGGAGGTTTTGTACTGTTTACATGTTATTTTTATTAGTTGTTTTCAACAAAGGACTCTGTGATGCTTTAGTCTAAGGGTTGTTGGCGTCCAGATGTAACCTCATGTCAGGAATGACTCGGTGCTGTGATTAGTCTGAACACTGGACTGAAACACTTCCAACCCTCTGAGTGAATGCACACTGGTTCTATGAGATGTTGCTTAAAATGAAAGATTGTATTTGCTGGTATAAGGGGTCACTTATCTTTAAAAGATGATTTTGAGGTTTAGTTTTTACTCCCTGTTGCATGGAGTGATTAAAGATTTTAACAAGCTCCTCAGAAACAGAAGTAAAGACGTTTTCTAAGAACGGCTTGGGATTTAGTCAAGTCTTCACCACTGGAAGACTTTGGTGTTGTTACCACTTCCCTCAGCCGGCCTTAAAGTGTCCAGGAGGACTTCACACTGTGTGCTGGTGATTCAGCAGCTGTGAGATTGGACAGGTGACCTGATGTTCGCTGTTTTTCTTTCAAGAAGTTCCCAAATTCATCATGTTAAAAGCAATAAGATGATTATTGTCTGTAACACGGTTAAAGTGATGACTGATGGCGGTCTTTTTACAACTGATCAGGTTAAAAATAGAATTGTTGGCTTTACTAGAAATCTATTTTTATTTTTCTGAAAAATGTACCTGTGCTCATGCAACCTAAAGTGCATTTCAGTACTGTCCTACTACTCAGTGTGCTCTGCAATACGTGACCCGTCTGCACAAAGTCAGTCGCGTTGCCCCTCGGGCTCCATCTGAGATCCAGCCCGAATTAACACATGATAAGATGTTAACTTTGGGTTTATTACGTAGATCGGTCCAGTTAGTGGTTTGTAGGTAACATATAATGTTATTGCTGTCAAATACCGTCAGCGTGCGTGAGCGCTAACACCAGAAAGAACCTGCGGAAGTCGCTTGTGCGCCGCGAGCATCGTGTCACTGCCAGCCAATCCTGGCCCGGGATTTGTGTCATGTGGCAGCAACATGCCGCTTTTGTTTACGCCCAAGGCGCAATGCGACTGATTTCGTGCAGGTGGGTCACACATGTGGCATTAAATACGTGTCATATTGCAGCATACCAGTGGATTTGCACACATGCTTCATCCTCTACTTCCTTCTTCTGTGTTTTGTTTTTACCTGAAAGCGATGGCAGCTTGTCTTCTCTTTAGGCAGCTGAAAAAGCAGCAGCTCCTCAAGAGCAGGACTGTTCAAAGCAGCGTTCACACCTCCTGTGAACTGATCTCGACGTGTTCTTCTGTGTTTTTGCTTCGTCAGTGTTGCTGTTCTGAACCGAACGTTCGGGTCATGTAGGAATCCGTATCCTCTGCGGGAGGTTGAAAGTTTGTGGACTCTCAAAGAACCCAATTTAAAAAGGAGTTAAGAAAAAAAAAACACATTGCAAACAATGTGGATATGAACCTGATTTCAAACAGAACGATGCGCTGACCGGATGCATTTTTGAGGGATGTCCTGAGGTTGCAGTCGGCCCGACTCGAGGTTCTGTAATCTGATAGAATATTAGCGCTAAAGGTTCGATCAAAGTTTAATTTCAACAGTGAAAGCTGTGTTAACATAAAGTCATTTACTTGTTTTCTTTAATGAATATCAACCCAGCTGTAAAACAAAGAAGTTCCTCCTTTAAAGTGATGTACTGTCTGACATCATGCAGCTCTCAGTAATAAAATCCTCCAAGATTAACGGACAGTGTTTTAAAGTGTAGCTCCGCAAACAGCAGCTGGGATCTCTAAGTGAAAACACCAGAGAAACACATACATCCAGATACTGCACATTTCTTTTGATAACAACTGGGTTTCATTTTTCAGTGTGTGGAAAGAAAAGTTTTGATAATCAGCTGACACACACACACAGAGAGACTAGTTTAACTGCTAGCTGAGCAGATAGAGGTCTGCTGTTGAAAACATGAGGGAGCCAGAGTTTGTGTTCTCCAAAGCACAGAGCAGCTCTTATTCTCTTATTATGAGGCTTATTCTGAACACATGAGTCCGTCTCAACGTGCAGTAACACTTTATTACAATGTGTGCATGCCAGTGTTAACACAATACTAAATGATTCCTCATGCAGTCTCATCCTACAGTTGTGCTTTTTTGCTGTTTGTCCTTTAACCTCTGATAAACCAGTTTTCTCTCATTTCAGCCCCTTCCCCTGCTTTCTCTGCCCTCCCCTTCCCCCCGTGTCACCCAGACATTTAACCATTGCAGTGTTTTTTTTAATATAGGGCTACATTCCAAAAAGCAAATGGGAGATGGACACATCTGAGGCCAAACTCGGTGGGTATTCTGTTTTTATTCATCTTTATTTTATGAATAATGATGTAAACTTTTAACTCTGTAGTGAATGAAGAGGCTTCGGTGCTTTTCGGTTTTTGGTCCATGATGACTTGCAGAGTTTTTATTATGTATGTGACTATTTCATGTCTGTGAATTATGTCACAGGTGTTACTTTCTGTTTCCAACCTGGTTATATTGTGATTATAAATTCACAAATGCATCAAATTGACCATGTTTAAGTAAAGAACACTTTTGTGTCTGACTTAAGGAAACATCGCATATGGTCAAAGCTTATGTGTTTTGTTTTTTAAACACGGATGTGTAATTTCAAAGCTGCTAATATAGCAAAATGCGTACAGGAGTTCATTATCCCGTTCGTTTCCCTGCTAAAAGCGCTTCTGCTAACTTTAAAATGTCTCAGTCACAAGCAAAGGACGACAGATGTTCTGCTGTTGGCAGCAACAGTCTGCATCCTGTTGTGTATATAACCTCATTATATCAATCCTCTTCTACTGGACTACTTTAAACATCGATGGCAATGTCCCCACAAAAATGGGAAAATCCTTCATGTTAGCGTCTTATGCGGCTAACGTTACGATTAGCTTTGGTCGTACGTCCACAGCTGTGCTTCAGTGCAAATTAAACTCATCCAGCAGTTACATCTGTTTGCTTCTCTCCTGCTCTCTGTGCTCACATTTACTGAATTTTAGCAAAGCAGCAATAAAATTGCTCTCATTTATACGTGTTTTTCCTTCTGTTGTCGGACAACAAAATGACTAAATGAGTTAATGACTAAATGAATTAAGACTACATGTCATCAAGCAGTTACTTCTTGGCCTTTTCCAAGCTGCTGCTTTGCACCTCTGAGTCGCTGCAACTACTTTATACTTTATAAACTGCAATGAATGAAATATTTTCATTTCAAATTATGGCTCAGAGAGAAAGTTAAAAGCAACAGAATATCTGAGAATCATTTAGATCAACTGGTGCTGCTCAGCTCTGTCAGTTACTGAACAAAGCCGACGCAGAGAGAGTCTTCTTCCTGAAGGCGGCGTTACTAAACAGTCACCTCTGCAGTGCTTTCAGCTGAACCTTAAGCTGCATTCTGGGTACATGTGAGACTTTGATTTGTTCAAACAGGACACAATATGGGACCTTTCAAATATGGATGAATGAACAAAGAAAATGAAAAGCCCAGGTGCCACATAAGCTGTTTTAGAACTGAAACAGAAAACACACTGATCAGAATCAGTCGGCACTGACCAACGTTTTTTCATAGACAGGTGAATGTTAAGATGTTGAGGTTAAAGTGTTTCATGGGAGGGCAGAGGTGACCTAAACAGCAATGTTCTATTCATACAGACAAGCTGGACGGTCTGGGCAGCGGCGGGAAGAGGAAACGTGAAGGTGAACACATGTCAGGCCTGGAGGACTACCTTCAGCTGCCAGACGACTATGCCACACGCATGTCTCAGCCGGGAAAGAAAAGGGTAAATCAGTCTGAACGTGTGTGCGTTTGTCAGTGAGGAGACGGTTTTAAATAGAAAATACAACGTCATACCAAATCACTGATAATGATTTATCTGGAATGTTCTCCTTGTTGTTAAGGTCCGATGGGCTGATCTTGAAGAGCAAAAGGACGCAGATCGAAAGCGCGCTATTGGTTTTGTGGTGGGTCAAACGGACTGGGAGAGAATAACGGACGAGAGCGGCCAGCTGGCACAAAGAGCTCTTAACCGTACCAAGTATTTCTAAGAAGAAAATGCCTTTTTTTCGGTTCACTAAAAGGTATGTACGTTGCGTTTCACTACGTTACTGTGTTGTTAGACGGCTGCAGGCGTTCCTTGTGGCTATTAAAAGTTAGAAGAGTGTCTGTGATGTGAACAAAGACTTCTACAGTTTGACGTATGTCTCAATCAGGAAGCCGTTTCTTTAAATGTGCTTTAGGGATGACAATGTGTTAAATGTAAGTAAATGGAAATTGTAAGTTGAGGAGTTCTGCAAAATATCTGTCTAGTCCAGTCTTATCCCACAGGCTTTCAGCAAGACATTAAAGGAAGTCTTATTTCTCACTAAGTGTGATCGGGAGCCTACAGTTTATCAGATACAAACATTGGTAATGATCCACATTCAGTCGTTATATTCTGTACCAGAGGCGTCACTGAATGTCTGAAATACATGAAGTCATACAGCTTGAATCTGTGGAGAAATAAAAGTTAATATTTATCACATGCAAAAAAAAAAACTTGTGTTGACACCTCAAACAAATGATCAAGATCACCAGTGACGCCTTCTTTCTCTCCGCAGGTGTCCAGAATGTGAAAACACTGAAGCTTCTCAGCGGCGAAACATTCGTTGAACAGTTCTTTCTCAGTTGATGTATTAAGACAGATATGACATCGTTTTTTTTTTGGTTTGTTTTTTTTTTGGTCATCTGGATATTCACCAATGAATTTGTAGTTTCTAATTCTGTGCTACTTCTGGTAACGCATCCCGCTTCGTTCGTTGCTGTTTTATACTATTCCTACTTCATGTACTGTGTACTTGTAGCACTATTTCTTGGTCCATGCATAGTTGAAAACGACAATAAAGGTTTCACAAAAATGTAAAGTTCTAATCGGAGTGGATCTTTATGATCAGGAAGCTGTGTGTGGTTGATTTAGAATGATAGAGTGAATGTTAACGTGAGAGATTTAGAAATCAAGACACGCTTCAGTTGAAAACGTCACATAATTGGTTATAACTGTGTGGATAACTTCTGATTTACTTAATTTGTCTTTTAATTAAAAAACATGGCTAAGAAATGAGTGCAGCTAAGAAAACGTTTGAAATCAGACTTGTTGCATTTTCTTGCTGGTGCTTTTCGTCCAGAGATGGTTTTGTAGCCTAAGTGCATGATTACAGAACCAAAAACCTTCATTCAAAGTGAATGACTTTCAGTAGAGGTCGCATATTGTGTGCAATCACTTCTCACAGAGGAGAAGCACGTTTGTTTTTGTTTCCAGTCCAATCCAATCAAAACAAGTTGCTTACAAATCAATTCAACTTTAACTGAGCTGAGAACAACCAATTTATTTATGGATCTGCAAGAAATAAATAATGTTTTATACAGAATTTCTGTCACATAGTCTAAAAGCATCCTGGGACACATTGAGCTGAAGTTGTTTTCAGAACTGCTCGGTGAAAACGCCTGTCTGCACGTAGCCGGTAAAGCAGGAAGTATTCAGACCTGTTCACTTGTTTAGCAGTTTTAGAGGTTATATTAGATAGAGACAGCTTCTGCTCATCAACAATCCCACAGTCATGAAGTGAAAACCTGCTTTGGAATAGATTTGCATCTTTTCTAAAAAGCCGGAACTGAAATCCCTCATTTAGAAATGTGCGTAGACTCTTGATTTAGTTGCACAGAAGCAGTTGTTGGAACGTTGTGAGAACGTCTCCACTTGCTGTGAACACCTGGATCTGGGCACTTTTGTCTTTCTCCTCCTGGCAGATCTTCTCGAGCTCTTTTAGATTGAACTTCTGCCCAAAGAGTTCAGAGGCAATGCTCTAGTTCACATCAGCTCTTTGCATTTCAGCAGCCAGCTCTCGACCAGGAAAACCAGTTTCACAACGACACACGCACTTGTTTGTTCTGGAGCTGTAAACCAGATTGGTTAGTAGCTTAGGGACGGATTATTGTGACCCGAAAAAAACTTTGTGAACGGCATTTGCTACAAAAAAAGATCAGAAAAGCAGCAGGGTTTGGAAAGCTGATGAGTCATGTCAGCTCACCGGCCTCTGGATGTTTTATTGTCATCAGCTGGCTTTAAAAACACCAGCTGGCGTCTGTAAATGCTGCTGCAAACATAAAGCAGCGTTCACAAACACTTACTGCTTGCAGCATCATTCACAAACAGATATTAAAACATCCGCAGCAGGAAGAATGAGAAAAACAATGACCTCATTGGTTTTCCAGCCGTAGTCCATGATAGAAAAATGCATCTCCTCCCCCTGAGGTCCTTGACAGAAGCTCCCAGTAGACCAGAGCGAGCTGCAGTAGTGTGACTGGTGTTTGAACACATGTACACAGTGATGTAATGGCGAAGCTCTTGAGTCAGTTGAAAAGCAAAATGGTTCAGAGAATGTTGAGAAGTTGAACCAGCCTCAAGTTCAGAAAGTAGGAAAAGAGAGAAGCCGACTGCACTCGGCTACGTAGTCGTACAGCGGTGGGTGTCGTAGGTCTGTCGCTACCTCATTCACTGTAAGAAATCGTGGGGCAGCTTCATCTCCTTTCTTGTTCTGGTTGGTGGAGATGAGAGAGGAAACACTGAAGCACCTTTTCTTTAGCGTTTAGAGAATGCGACCAGCTCTTACGGCCGCCGCTTGGATACGACAACTTAGATTTTAGTCGATTTAAACTCTGTGCCCTTCTACACTGCATGGAATCAAGTTCTAGACACGTCTCAGGAGTTCTGAACACTGTTACCATGACGACAGTGGCACAGCAAAAGCTTTGAATACTTTTATAAATGACAGATGTCCGTTTTTTACAAAATCTTAAATCATGTTTTCACTGATGAGCAAAAATACCAAATTTTAGAATTTTTCTTTGTGCCACATTTAAAAATCCACCAAAGCTCACACAAACATGAAATAGAAGTTAGAATATTTTGTGACTACAGATGTTCCAGTGAGCAGGAGGGTGGTTGTCATGGTTAATACCAGCAGGCGTTTTCACCTTTTAAACAAATTTCTACCAACTTTGCGTCTGTGGATCGAGACGTCCAGGATTTTCACACGTCAGGATATTTATTCTGGTTTATCAGCAACTGAAGACGATGCAAAAACCTTCACATCACTCCTGATGAAGATGATTTTTAATTTTCCCCAATGGACGACAAGTCACCGTGCATCATTTGGACAACGAATGGATGGATCCATGTGGTGAGTATGGAAGAGCCAACGAAGAAATACGATTTGGAATTCAAGCAATTTCTGTTTCTCTATATCCTGTAAATACATCCATCATTAATGAACTCTGCTGAATATTAAACATTTTTCCTACAAGGTGTGGACCTTATTTTTTGTCTTATTACAGAAAAAAAACAGAAAATCTGTTCTCTGTGGCTTGATGACGTTTCACTGGTAAAACGTTGAATCCTGCAAAATATGTATTGTTGCTATGTCATGTGTTCATATAGCAGAATACATATTAAGTCATGAGGCAGCAGTGACAGCTGGTGAAGTCTGTGCCAGATGTTCTCCACTGCCGACACTCTGGCACATTAATGGAGATGAAACATCTGCACTAACTGATGACTCGTCTATTTTACAACATTGTTCGTGTTTACATTCAGACAAAATAGTTCGCCGACCAACATGTGAGTAAGTCCACACTGTGACAGGAACCGCTGTGGCACACGGTGTCTTCTGCTCGGTTCTTATCCGGTGTGTTGACTTTTGAAATCGGCTGGTACGTCACTGTCCAGTTTGCAGATCACCTTGTAGATGGCTTTCTTCCAGGACGGATCTCGGTCCTTCCCCATTGAGATGGCAATGTAGAACTCTCTCAGTGTAATCTCGGCCACTTCCAGGAACCTCTCAGGAACCTGTGAATCCACACGAGAAGATTCCAAAAAAATACACACTTAAGACATTTTGCAGGCGTGCTGTTCACTCAGGCTACTTTGACAGAAAGACACGTGGATTGTCGGTTTTCGTTCTGTGTAGGTAATGGAAATGTGGCCCAGCAAGTCAAGGTAAGTTAAAAACCAAGACTAGACAAAGACACTTTGGTTATTTGAAGACAATATCGAACCAGTTCAAACAACGTCCTACACTTCAGTCTGCTGCTCTTACTTTTCAGTGTGAACCTTCGGTTATTTACGGTGTCAAACACTCGTACATGAACAGCTTTGTGTAGTAACTCTGCAATGTTGCTGAATTTGAACATTAGCGAGCTGACAAGCAGCGTTTAAGAACATTCAAGCTGGTGTAGCGTTGCACCCAAAATGTTTAAACCAGTGATTCTCAACCTGGGAGTCGCAAGATCAATTGTGTCCCAATCAGCTGTGGCTCTGATGATGTCATGTTAAGTATCTGCCAATCCAAAACCAGTTTCCTCGAGAAAACCTGCTTTAAACATCATGGATTAGCTGTGGTACCTTCTTATTGTTTAGTAACCAGAGGACGTGGTCACTGGGACTGGAAGCAGAGAGCATTGTGGGGGCGGAGCTAGTAAAGGGCCACCATGACAAAATCCTCTGAGGCGCTTCATGACATCCAGTCAGACCTGTTTCAAACAAGCCAGGATGCATTTAGACAGCGTCCCAGTGGTTCTCCTGAATGTAGCTGGGCTGCCTTTGTGGTCCAAATTATGTGTTCACTGAACCTGTTCTGAAATTAATTATTAATTGATAATACTGCATTTATTAATATGACCTAAATGAGGATCCTGCTAGAAGCTGTATTCATCCTTTACATAAATATCCTTCCAGCCTCCATTCTGGTGCTTCTGTGCGTCGGCGTCACGCTAAACCAGGCAGCTGTAGAAACCTTTGCTGGGTGACTGTGGAGCAGCAGCTTCTGTGAGTTAAAAGTGGAGTCTGAACACCAGGACTCCACTTTTAACTCCACGTTTTCTTGGAGAATAATGACTCAAAAAGGTTGAGAATTTCTGGTTTTATGAAATGAAAAGGCTCAAATGGAATCCATCACCAAATGAGAGCAAGCCGATCTTCTCTCACACACTTCTAGAAAATAAAATCTTGTGAGAAAAAAAAATGGCTTGGAGTTGATTTAATGTGATGATGAATACCTCTGCCCAGTAACATGAAGCCCACCGCTAACGGAGGTGGTACAAAGCTTCTTTTATTCAGCTTTTTTGCTTGTTTTCTCAACTATTAATAACTAATTACTGAAGAATCTGGTCTGAATATTTATTCATGTTTTTATTGAGCTGTTTCCTCACTACCTTCTGATCACAGATATAAGAATTAACACAGAGTCCATTTGTGTTCCCCAGAGGATGTTGCATTTTGGATTTTCTGTGCCACAAAAACAAACTATCAGAACCGTGTTAGCACTCATACTGATGGGTTTAAAGAGCATCGATCCGACAGTGTTTCCTGCACGTCTGTTGCACCGCGTTGTCTTTTCATCTTGCACTTCTGAGTTGTTTCCTTTTCTAAACCTTCTGTTTTTGGTTCCCAGCTCTGTTTGGCTTCACATGAATAACAAAGAGGCTTAATTGTGGGCTGTGATTATGCACTTTGAAAAAAAAAATACAAGCAAAATTCCAGCACGCCATACCTGGTGAAAATATCCGACCTAACTCGACTGTTCTCAAACGATATCCGAGCGTTTGCTGCCTGACAGGTTTTACACAAACGGAGCTTAAACCGAAGTTTAAACAGTCACGAGTTCATCCAGTGACGCTGCACAGCTGACATCATTCAGAGCGCTGCTTGGATTCCTTTAAATATCTCATTCCCTCATATCCCTTTTCAGTTTTTTTATTATCTTTAGATTTCTTTCTTGATTTCCCTTTTTATTTGATTTGATTCTGAATCTTATACAAAATGATGTTAAAGGTGATCCTTCCCTTATTGTGCTGCCATTTATTTCCTATATTCAGAAATTGTTTTAAAACAAATACGTTTCAGATGACAATATGTTCTTTTATCAAGTTAAATGCAGTCGCTGCTGCACTGAGATCTGCTCATTACTGTCTGTTATAATGTTGAAATATATATAATATAAAAACTGAAGAAGGTGAATCATTTTTCTGAATTTTATGTCCAAAACTAAAGCTGTGATAAATGTTTGAACTTAACACAAACATGACACCTGAAAACAGTAGAAGCTGGTGTTCAATTACTTCAGTGTGTTTCTAAACTAGTCAGTCAGAAAGCCTGATCACATCTATTGATCTGTTCATAATGATTCCTTATTAATTTAACTGTGCTGCATATATTTCTCCATGCAAGTCTTATTTCATTATCATATTAAGTGCTGCCGTTTTTTTCCTCCTCATCTAGTGTTGTACTACGATGTAATAGATGAACTATTACTTTAAGTTATTGGCGACTCGATAGCCGAGAGTCCTCAGTTAGATTCACGGCTGCTCGGACTTTAACTGTTTGTTATTCTGCTGCACTCGTTAAGAACAATGTCCCTGTTACTACAGCAGGACGACTATAAGAACTGGTTGACATGTTGCCCAATCTGTGCGTATTAATCTGTCAACACAGACACTGTTTAGCTGCACTGTGAATGTAGAGATGAAGGAGAAAATGCAAATCATGGTCAAGATTTTCTGAAAACACGCCCCGTCTGTTCATCACTGTTAACACTGAATCTCACCGCCTTTGGAGAAACAATAAGATCTCGTAAATACAGCAGAGTCTTAATAACCTCCGTGTCACTCTCCTCTCGTTTCATTTTCCACCGTCAGCTGTTCAATAAATCATTTATTAAAGCAGAATAAATATGAACTCTGTGCTATAAATGGGTGAACAGTTTTGGTGCATCTCAAGCTTCAGAAATCCAAACTCCAGAAGCGTTTTATCTGTTTTACTGAACACACACTTGCACCTTGCCTCACCAGACTTCTCTCTGTCTTTTTTTATTATTTTTTTTTCCTCCATGGAGATGGCGGCGCGCATGGACGCGGCAGCCCCTTACAGCCGCGAGGCTTTGCCGAACATCAGGACAATGACCGGCGCTAAAATCGTGGCGGCCGGTTGCGATTTGGACAAACTGCGCCAACGCGGAGTCCGATCGGAGGCTGCGCCGGCAGTTACTCAAGAGAGAAGGAAGCGCAAACGGTGTGAACGGAAACAGAAGAGGGGGAAGAGAGCCGGGGTCAACGCGAGGCTAAAAGCCTCCAGACTGGCAGAACTGTCGCTCCAGCTCTCCGATGCCCACTCCCTCGACAACAAGCTGGACGAGTCACGCTTGCTGAAGGAACCCCACAGAGAGTAGACAGACTGCTGTTTGCTTTAACAGAAACATGGCTCCATGCAGAGGACAAGACCGTCAGGACAGGCTGACCAGCCGATTGCTGGGAGCCCCCAAATGGCTTGGTACATTTTGTAGTGACAACCTACGGGGGGGGCCTCCATGTAGCTCTTTGCCTGAGGCCCCCCAGAACCCAGGATCGCCTCTGGCTCCATGACACCGTCCCAGACGACCATACAGCTCTGAACTTTCCCAGAACCGCTACAGGAGCAGGACACTGACTCCTCACACCCTCTCCATGAAGTATTTAAACTGCTGCCATCAGGCAAACGTTTCCAGAGCGTTAAAGGAAGAACCTCCAGACTGATCAACAGCTTCATGCCACAAGCTGTCAGAACGCTGAACTGCTGATCCAGATATGCACACGATTATTTATTAAATTGATTTTATTTATTGGTTCCTGAGGAAACTCTCATCTTGCCTGTACTACTGTGTATGTCCAGCAACATGACAATAAACTGGATTTGATTGGATTTTTTTTCCCCCCTCAGTGGGTTTGAACATTTATGCCGATAAGTACGACAACATGTCATATAATGTGATTAAACTGACATGTTAGAAAAGTTGATTAAATGGTTTAAAAGTGAAAAAATAATAAAATATATAATGGAAAGATGGGATGCATTTTGAATATAACCAATTTGTTCCCTCCATGTTTACATAAAATGACTAAAGCAGTTTAGTTGGTGTTTAAACCTACAACATATTAGGAGCACTATGCAAAGCAAGTTCCTTCTTTTGAATATTTAAAATAAATATATAAATAGATATACCAACAACAAAAGTGAAACTGCAGATTCATAACAAAGACTTGAGATCTAGGAAATACTAGTACAACTGATCCCAAACCAGTCATGTTTTGGCAGCGTACATGATTAACACTGAGACAATAAAAATGATCACTGAACACACCAAAAGCAAAAAGTGACGGTTCAGGATCTTCCCAACAGGCTGCACAAACTCACACAGACTCACAAACTCAGAGCAGCAGAAGTCATCGGTTTCCTCTCACCTGGAAGTCGTTGGCCTTGTTGTAGTGCATGTTGAGAGCTCTGAAAAGTTCCGATTCTCTGCCCACAGCCAGACGCCTCCCGTCGGCCGCTCCCTCCATGAGAGCGTGGCGGGCGAACTTCTCCATCTGGATGTAGTAGAACTCTCTGAAGTTGCTGAACCACTTGATGAGCTGGGAGGTGATGCAGCGCGTGAACTGAGACACAGGACAGGTGAGTGAGCTGCTCAGCCGGGAAAGTCTCGTTTGACTTTCTGCAGTTTGTCTTCACAATGTAAAGCAAATCTAATGAATAAACTGTGTTCTACCTGGTACCACTGTGTTGTTGTTTGATTTAACCCTTTGAACCCAAAGTGGCTTTGGTGGCTTTTTGCTCATGAAAAGTTTTTTGTTTGTTTGTTTAAGTTGAATTTCTTTCTCTATTTTTTACAAAAACTGACATTTTTCAAAGTGACCACAAGTGTCACTGACACTGGAAACCAAGTTATGGTTCTACATGCTACAGATGTTTTACTAATTTGCTTCCACACGTGTCCCGTCTGCTCCGTATGGACACATCCTGCAGTTCAGCCTAATTCAGCAGAATAACGTTTGGATTTTTTCACTGGTAGTTGTACCTGAATCCATCCGAGCTTCTTGGTTGAGCTGAAAAGCACAGAATTTTTTTTAGTTTTTAACTAAATGTGTTTACAGCCCAGGCTTTATTTTTAGCTAACTTTTAAATGAGACATGTAGAATAAAGTGATTTTGATGCAATATATTGATGTTAGGGGCTGCATGGTGGCTCAGTGGTTAGCACCGTCGCCTCGCAGTTAGAAGGTCGGCGGTTCGCACACCTGGGATCTTCCTGCGTGGAGTCTCCATGTTCTCCCCGTGCAGCGTGGGTTCTCTCCGGGTTCTCCAGCTTCCTCCCACAGTCCAGAAACATGCTGAGGTTAATTGGTGATTGTAAATTGTCCGTAGGTGTGAATGTGAGTGTGCTTGGTTGTCTGTCTCTAAGTGTAGCCCTGTGATAGACTGGTTACCTGTCCAGGTGAACCTGCCTTCACCCTGAGTCAGCTGGGATAGACTCCAGCCCCCCATCACCCTAGTGAGGATTAAAGTGTAGAGATGATGGATGGATCTTGATTTTAAGCTGAGATCTACTTCATTTTCTCGACAGAACCGCATGTCACAGGTGATACGTTCAAGACTGTCAGAAAGTTGAGAATCCTGTTTTTTTTTCTTGTTTCTGTGTTCGATGGTGTTAAATTAGGTGGGTTTTGTTTGTTTTTTGTTTTTGTTTTTTTTGCTTGGCCCAGTTTTTTTTTGTTTGTTTTTTTTTGTTTTTTTGAGATAATGTCCTTTTTATAGATGCCACTGTGTTTTGAGGTTAAGAGGCTTAAAGATGTTATAATGTTGTTGATCTTAACACAGTTTCTGAATTGCAACGCTGACAGATTTAACCCTCCTGTTTTCTTTGGGGTTTAACATCTCAAAATAAGTATTATTTATTTAGATTTTATTTAAAGGGATGTTTACACATAAACTTGGGAAACGATTTTATTTATGATCCTTTTCTGAAGGTTTTAATTGCTGGAGTCAAACTGACTGATGTCAGTAAAGTTGAAGGTAATAGGAGGCTTAATTAACCGAAAGATAACGGAGCATGCAGCACATTAAGGACAAACATTTTAATTGGGTTTTTTTCTCTGAAAATGGAAAACAGTGCCAGTGCTGCTGACACACAAATTAACTTTTCTGTCCATGCAAAGAATACTATAAATCAGTAAATCCAAGATTCCTCATATTTTCTACTTTATGAATATGTGAAAAACGTATTTTCTCACCTGCACATCGTGGAAACACACCTTCAGCACCAGGGAGCTCGGGTAGCGAGTGTAGAAGAACATGAGCTTTGCCTTCTTCAGGTGGTTTGTGGTCAGACCCTCCTAAAATGCGTTGAGGATGAAACACATTCTTGACATAAAGGAACAGTCAGACTTCTCTGTGTTAATGATCAATAAAATAACAAAGCTGGAAAGATGGTAGGATGCAGGTTTCTTAAAGGTTTGGGAGTTTAGAGGGAGCACTTATTGGATTCTGTGTTGGGGTGTTGCCGTTGAACAGAGCCATTAATGGATCACATCTGGGGAGAAAAGCGGGTTGTTATTTGAACCTTAAATAGGCAGAGGTAGGTTTAATTCTGGTGCCTAAAGGCAGCTGCAAAAATCAAAGACATATCAGCCAGTCGTGCCCCTGCTGAGCGCTCCTTAAAGCCAGAGGAGAACATCAGTTAGAAACCAGTAAAGGATACGTTCAGCATGTACAGGTTGTTTTTCACCAGGCTGTCCGACTCGAGCTTCACATGAGGGAGACACAGACTTTCCAGAAGCACCGGATCCACGGACACCGTATGAATGTGTGGGCTCCTCACGGACCTGGACTTGACCTTCGCTCTCACTTTGACTGAACTCCAATGTGCATCAAACGCCTCAAACTTCGATGGAGCTGCTTCCGAGTGTCCGTCCTGCAAGCATCTGTGGTTCTTCTCTGACAGCTGATCTTCACGCAGAGCCGAGTCGTGGCTGAAGGGGTTTGGAGATCTGGGACGATGGTGAGCTTTCAGCCTGGACTGGAGGACACATTTGCTGGATGTGTCCACATTGGGCTTTTGCACAACCAGAGATAGAGCTTCTGTCTGAACATCTGGCACCTCGACAGCGTCACAACAAGAAAGTCTTAGTTTGTTATCTCCACATGTTGATGTCTGAAGAGGCATGTCAGTCTGCACAGGCTCCACATCATGTGTCTGTAGTAGCGGCATGCTTTTGAAGATGGAGTCCACGCTCCGGCTCACAGCTCTGGACAGTTCGTACTTCAAAACATCTGCCATTAGCTTTATCCGCTCCGGTTTGGACTGGAAGTAGTTCATGAGCTTCACCTTCTTCCATCCTTGATATTTTCTACTTTCACTGTATGCATCGGTCAACGCATCACTCGGAGATGTTTCAGGAGAATCACTCCACGTGGGGTGTTTCTCCTCCTTTCTGCTGTCTGTGGTCTCAGTAGCTTCGTCCATGTGGCTGAACTTGGTTCTGAGCTGTCTGAGGTGCTGCTGCTGCCTCTCAGGCTGCTTCCTCGTCGCCCGGCTTTGACTCGTGCTGCCGGATCCACTTCTGTCCGAGTGTTTCAGATCCAAAGGTTCTCGGACGGTTTCGTCTTCCTGCACACAGTCGACCTCCTCGTGCTGACCTGCTGTCACACCTGAGCAGTACAAACCAGGAGAGCTGGTCATGCCTTTGATGATGTTTTCTACTCTGGCTCGCTTCGCTTGGCGCCCACTGCTCAGGTTCCAGTCCTGGTAGGAGCTGGGTGCAGGAGACGGGAGCCTTCTTGTGGGTAAATGTCCAGCGGTGTTGTCTCCGGATGAGCTGAGCTCCAGATGGTGGGAACAGATCAAACCTGAAGCTGGATCTCCGCTGCTGTAATAAGCACTGTTGGGCAGCATTTTGATGATCTCGCCGTCTTTGTGGAAAGTCGCAGAAACACCGGATGCGTCTAAATTTGATGGTTGAAACGAGGAGAGGTGGTCTGCAGTGCAGCCGTCCAGGCAGACGCTGCTGGACGAGTACATGGCTTTGCTCCAGACGCTTTGATTCATGCTTGTTAGGTTGAAAAAGAAAGAAAAAAAGGGCAAAAGTGAATAAATATCAGGAGCATCTGGAGATTTTTGATGCTCTGATTTTTTTCTTTTTTAGTAGTTTGGCAGATTTAGTTGCAGACAGGTCTGAAAAGTCATGTCATAATTACTCATAAAGCACATTTAAAACAACAGCAGCTGAGCCAAAGTCTTTTCTAGAATGAAAAAAAAAATCCATCTTTTAAATTAATTTTATGAGTTATTTACAATGCGAATTTACAAGAGTAATAGAAATAATAATGACTTAAACCCAACTAAATTAGCCAAAATACAAATTTACCTGACTTTGATGAATATCCAGACTAAGACACCACAATAACACAAATGATCAATAAGAAGCTGCAGATTTACTGACAATTTTCTGTGTTCTTATGTTAAGTTCAAACTTTCAGACCTGATTTTTCAATAAAATAAATAAATTGATTAAAAATAGCTGAGATATTAAAGAACCCAGCTGGAGTATAAACAGCTGATAACCGACCTGCCGGCTTCCTGAAGGGTCCAAAGGAGGCTGCAGGTCTGGAGGCTGCAGGAGGAGGAGGAGGCTCAGATATTTGTAGTGGTCCAGCTGAGAGCCCCTCCAGAAAACAAGAGGTGTGGCCACATAACATTAAATATATCATTTCAATCTGACAACCAAAATGAGGAATAAGTGGTTGCTCCCTAATGAGGGGTGTTCATTTATTTATTTATTTAATTAGTTAAACATTTTTTTTCTGAAATGCTGGTTGTGTGTTTGTTAGTTTTAATTCATTTCAAATGTTGGGCTGCAGTAATAACAGTGCTGGCTGCCAAATGTAGGTAATGGTACGATCCTGTTGAAATTAAATTGTGTTATTTTATCATATGAGAAAAAGAATGCTATTTATTTCACTTAATCCACAACTTTTAAGGCGTTTTAATTCACGCTCTGGTAGAGAATGATTAATTTTCAATCCCAGCTCCCTCTGCCCGGTACACCGGACCCCCCTGTCGTCCCGCCGCAGTGGTTCCTCCCGGTCAGGCCGCTCCCGCTGCTGACTCTGCCGGCTTCCGTAGCTCCGCTTCAGCCGCAGACAGCCGCCAGCCAGCGCGATGTTGTCACGATCCCCGTCTGTTTACCGGACGCTTGGCCGTTCTCTGTCGGCGGCGAACCAGGTAGGTGTAAAGAAACAGCGACTCCAGCCTGTGTCCGTGCCTCTGGGGGACAGTAGAGCTCAGCTAGCTGTTAGCTTTGAAGCAGGGCCGCTGCTACAAGGACAGACAAAGACGCTGAAGTTGGTTTCAGATTCGTAGCCTCGCAAGTCTGCAGTTAAGGGAAGCTTTTACTTATATCTGTTTTTTTTGTTGTTGTTGTTGTTGTTGTTTTTTTTTACACATTAATGATGCAAAACTGTGTTATGTAGTTCAAATATTTTTTTTAATGCTATTTAAAACATACTGATACAATTGTGAAACTTTAATTCAGATTGTGTAGATGCAAATAAAGGCAGATTTCACTGAGTGTTTTTCACATTAGATCAGATCTACATCCTAAATCACTGAATGTTTACAGATCAAGTCTGGACCAGATTGTCCAACAGAGGTTAAAGAAGCTTTAAAACGCAGTCTGGGACTTGTCAAGCTTTTATTTTATTTGTGAAAGACCAATATTAGAAGATTTCACTGCTTTTTCTGCACACAGACTGTGTTAGATCAACTCCAGATCCAAAATCACAAAATATAAACTCATCAGATCTGGACCAGGTGGTCCTACAGACATTAAAGAGGCTTTAAAACACAGTTTCTATCTTGTGAAAATTTCAGGTTATTCCGTAAAACCCCAATTAGTGCCTCCCACCTGAGCCTCCTATAATTAGTACTTAACAGAACTCAAATGTTTTTACCCGAAAAAAATATTTATGAATGAAGTTATGAGAGTTTAGAAATGCCAAAAGAAGTCCACCTTCATGCACTTAAAGGGCCTGTAGCTCAGAAAATGTTCGTGATATGAAGGTAATATTTTGCATGGCTTCATTAAATTAATTGAAGTCCTTATACATTTAAGATCAGCTGATTGTGAAAAGGTCTGATGAGAACTTTTCTGAGATTTGTTGGATCTTATGTGGAGTCACCGTTTTATTCTGATTGTAAAACTAGTTGTTTTTTTTTTTAGTCTGGATGTAATGTGGACCGTATTTCAACAAATAGATTGAAGCATTCACAAATTAGCTTTAAAGAGTATTTAGCTTCTGAAGGACAGTCTAGTCCAGATCTGACCTGTCTATATATAGCTGGTTAAATTTGGACCTGGTTTAATGCGGCGTAAAAAGCAGCAAAAACTCCCCTTATTTCATATTCACACGTAGAATAAATGTTTCACAGTTTGTAAAGTGGGTTTAAGACAGCATAAAGGTGTTAGATAAATGTCTAACGTGGTTTAAAATCATTAAAATGTGATCAAAACAACAGAATCAGCCACTCAGAGCTGCAAGTTAACTTTCCCTTAACTTTTCCCTCAAGTGCCGGAGCAGAAGCTACGAATGGGAAGCTGACTTCAGCGTGGTGGACTGACACTGACAGCTTCAGGGGCAGCTCACTGACTGAACATGCACATTTATCTCAGGATGGTTATTAAAACTCGCATAAGCGTTACCACAGAAGCCCTAACAGCTTGACTAGCTAACATGCTAACAAACTCTGTGTCCCCTGCTGGCTGGTGACTGAGCTCAGAGGCTGACAGGCTACTGCTGGTGAGTTATGGTGCAGTGTGGTAGTGAGACAGAAATAGTCCACACCATGTCAGACATGTATGTGCAGAGCCACATGAGTCCTGCTCGTTCCTCTGTGCTTTGAAACTGGATCTACACAGAAGAAAGCGATTCTTTTGCCAGCGCTCACTTGACTCCTTTCAGCTTTACGGAGCAGACACCTGGTGTGTAGTTCACAGCTCTGCCTACATTCCTGAAGACTGGAGCTGCAGCAATTAATCAATTAGTTGTCAATGATTAAATTAGTAACTGATGAATCAATTTGGGCAAGAAGAAACGATGTCTAAATTGTCAGATTCCAGCGTCTTGGCCCTTTGAACTCTGGGAAGCATCTATGCGTTTTGTTGTTTTTTTGCACCGTTACATGCTTTTTATTCTAGTATAACGTCCTGCACCTCTATGGAACCAGCAGAACTGTGGCTAGAAGTAGAGAGAAGTCACACATGTCCTCTGTGCAGTAGGACACATTGATAAGGTCACACATCATAAATAACAAAGGTGATTTAGAATACAGAACTTGGGGGAAGAGGGGTATCAACATGTTAAAAAGATAAGTCTGTGTGCCCAAAGTAGTTACTAAAACTGTGGGGAAACATTCACTGTGCATGCTTTAAAGACTTTCCTGCTTATATTTGTAATTTGTTTCCATGCTTGTCTCCTGTCTGCTCTGCATAGACACAGCCTGCGTTTTTTTCTTCAGACACATCGAAGAAGGAGATTTTTTTTTAATGAAATATCTTAAACTTAAGCTTGTTGTTTCCAAATGAAATGGCATGTCGCAGATGAGTAGTTTAGTGGAATCTTTACACAAAATATTGATTAACGGTAATAAGGATTCTCCTTTGCTATTATTTCTCTTGTGCGATGTCTCGGTGGTTAGCACCGTCACCTCGCAGCTAGAAGGTCGCCGGTTTGTGTCCCGGTGAGGACACCCGGGATCTTTCTGCGTGGAGTCTCCATGTTCTCCCCGTGCAGCGTGGGTTCTCTCTGGGTTCTCCGGCTTCCTCCCACAGTCCAGAAACATGTTGAGGTTAATTGGTGATTGTAAATTGTCCGTAGGTGTGAATGTGAGTGTGCTTGGTTGTCTGTCTCTAAGTGTAGCCCTGTGATAGACTGGTTACCTGTCCAGGTGAACCTGCCTTCACCCTGAGTCAGCTGGGATAGACTCCAGCCCCCCATGACCCTAATGAGGATTAAGGTGTAGAGATGATGGATGGATCTTATGTAACATTTTTGCTTAAGAAACTACTCGTAATCAGCTGACTGTAATTATCTCAGCTTCAGATGTAGAATGTAGGAAGACTTTTTTTTCTTTTCTTTTTTTTAAAGAATCCAAGTCGTGCTTTCACAGAGGAAACCACTCCAGTGGAGCACGTTGAAGCGATCAAACAGAACTATGTTGGTGGTTTATCAGCCTCTCCAAACCTTAATAAAACTCGCACCAGTTACTCCAAAGAATGAAAGAGCGGGAAACCCAGGCGACTTGTCTGTACATGCTTCCATGCATTGTGGAGGATTCGGTCCATCTCCGAGGACTCCACCCTCCTCTGGTATCCCACATCAGTCGCTTCAGCTTTGGGTCACGAGTGACTCCACCAGACAGAACCAGACAGGCCTCTTTCCTCGAAGCCCTGCCCCTAAAACACACTCATATGACTCATAGCATGAAGCCTAACAGCGGCCTGTGTTTGGCAGCGGTGTAGCTGAATGTTGAAGAGATGTGTGTTGTGGAGACGTGTTCTCCATCAGGGAGAATGAAACGAGGAAAAATAACAGGTGTTGGTAAAACACAGCCGTGATGTTTGTCATCATAGAACAGGGTGAACGGTGGCTGCTTCAGGGGTTAAATGACCTGCAGAGATAATTTCTCTTCAGGAAATGACCAGTTACTGGCGAACCAGGCTACCAATCCGCTCACATCTTGGTGCCTTGTGACCACTTTAATTTGTGTTTGTGCAGCTCGGGCTGTTGCACGTCTGCATTTTCCTCTAAAAGGTTCACATGCTTTGATTTTAGATTTATTATCCTTCCTGTTTCCCATCAAACGTTCCTCCTCTGTTGACATTTTTGAGGAAAAATCTGAAGACAGAAATGTTTGTGGTTGCTCTGAGCGGTCTGAACTTTTTAGTATGTATTTTATTTTAGAATTTAATCTAGGCGTTGTTTTCCCCTTTTGCCCCCGTTTTTGTAATAGTTTATCTTGTTTTACAAAATCGATTTTACAAGTCTTTGTCCCTTTTTGCACGTTTAATTAATGTCTTCTAACCTGCACTTTGCTTTAAAATATAAATAAACCTGATCTGATTTTAAGTGAGTGATGAGTTAGTAGCGCCAAACATGTGCTTCGTCTTGTCTCAGAAATGATTTGGTGTTTTTATACGGTTGTAAACGGACTAGAGGAGACGGGTGGTCCAACAAAACGAGACATTTAAAGGAAGATTTATCAACCAGATGAGAAAATAGTCTGGAGATGATTTGACAGTGAAAATACTCGTCAGCTGCAGCAAACCTGATGAAGTCATGCGATGGAAGTGGAGGCACGATGAGCTGCATATTGATGTTTTAATAGAAATATTGATCCGATTGTTCTTTTGTTTTTTTATAGAGGAAACAAACGCTGTGCATAAAGCAAATAGACACAAGTAAATTAATTTCCTTCTCTTTTCTTTTATCTTTTCAGGCCAACAACGTGCTGGTCCGACAAAGCGTATCAGGTCAGTGTTCCTCCAATCCGCCTGTTTTTTTTTGGGTCTGAGCTTCTCAGGCGGCTGCTGGTGAATAAACATGCTCTCTGAGTGGGTCGCACAAAGCCCAGTCAGCCGCCGAGATGCCCGAGGAGCCCACGAGTGGTTAACGGCAGCTTTCAGACGACTCGTGTTTTTAACGTTAGAGCCTCGGGGGGGAAGCAGCAGTCCAGGCTGATTCTCTTCTTTCTGTATTTTCAGGTCACTCGGTCTGCAGCCGGCTGCTTTACAGGAAGTCTCGGCCGTAAGTGCTCGTTTCATCGAACGTCCTCCAGTAAACACGTGATCTGTAGAAATCCTTTTGCATAACTGGCCTCTTTTAGTAAACTGAGCTCCACATCTGGACGTAAATTATCATTAATTATTTTATTTCAAACCAAACATTGAAGTCAACATCTGGTACACAAAATCAAAGAGAAGGGTTTTGGAAGAAGTTGAACACTGATATAAACCAAAACCCTTGTGACAATAATAACTTAAATATGCACACTTTCACAGTTTCTCATCAGAATTAAGCTCGACACACTTTGGTGACACCTCCTCAGAATAAATCAGAATTACACTGATTTTAATAAGTCTCATTAGTAGCAACATATCTTTTAACTACATCATCTTTTGTCACTTGTTTAAACTTCCCTATTGGTTGACGAGTTTCTATGTTCTCACCGCAGCGGTTCCATAACTCAGTGGTTCTCAAACTGGGGGTCGAGACCCCCATGGGGGACCCAAGATCATTTCACGGGGTCGCCAGATTATTGTAAAATAAAATAAATAAAATAAAATAAAGCCTACATTTATCAAATAAATGAATAATAAGGCTGTCAGAATTAAAGGTGTATAATTCTTTCCACTCCTTTTTCAGACTCGTTAATATTATGGTTTGATTATGCGATATTTTTGTTCTTTTTTGCTCTTTCTTAAATTATTTTTATGTTCTTTTTCCTTTTCATTTGTTCGACATAAATTCAATTCATTCATTCAAAAGAAAGAGATTAATCTGTGGAATTAGTTTTTAAGGCATTAATGCATGAACAGCAGGATTATTACTCATGATATATTAAAAATTCAAATTGGGGGTCACAAACTTATCTTAGGGGTCGTGGCTCTAACAGTTTGAGAACCGCTGCCATAACTGAACCCCTCCTGCAGAGACACAATGAAGTTATTTAATTAACTGATCTTATAGGAGTTAAACATCATATTAATGTAATAATACTCACAGCCCCATCTGTAGAGTTGTTATGTTTTTGTTCTCGAGTTGCAAGCAAATGCCTTTTTTTTTTTTTCTTGACACTCAGATCTGAATTTCCGTCTTCGGCGAGCACCTACCACGTCAGATGCTTCAAGACGTCCGCCGTCCACCGTGCGTACAACAACAGCTCTCAGTGTCGGCTATGAAACTGGACTCAGGGTTCAACTTGCACTAACTTTTTATTTTTGTGTGTGCAGGCGATGAAGTGGTTACAGTCAAAACTCCTGCGTTTGCAGAATCCGTTACAGAGGGGGACGTGAGGTGGGAGAAAGGTATCTGTCAGCACATCACGTGTTATATTATCAGTATTTAAATGCAGACGGTAATTTAACTGCTTTGTGTTTCAGCTGTGGGCGACTCGGTGTCAGAAGATGAAGTGGTTTGTGAAATTGAGACTGACAAGGTACAAACAGTCAACCTGAAACCTGCCATTTAAACTGCTTTTGTTTTGTTTTTTTTAGTAATTATGCAAAACTTGTGTGTTTCCAGACGTCGGTACAAGTTCCCGCTCCAGCAACTGGTGTGATCGAGGAGCTGCTGGTGCCTGATGGAGGGAAAGTAGAAGGAGGGACGCCGCTGTTCAAACTACGGAAAGGAGGTTTGTTTACTGCAGCGTCGGTTATCGTCGTATCGTCGTTACAACACAGGACAAGCTTATCAGAAGCATCAGTGAATAAAATGAATAATGTTTTAAATCGGGGACATCTGGTCTGATGTTAGAATAGAATAGAAATACTTTATGAATCACCAAAGGGGGGATTTGGTTGTTACAGCACAAAGAGTAGAGTTACCACCATAAATACTGATAAATAAGCCAAAATAAAAAACATATAAAATGTACAATAAGTGTAAAAGTAGAAAAGTCCTGTGTGGTGCAAATAATGTGCAACAAAACAAAGAGTACAGCAAATGTGTTCATTCTGTTCTCCCAAATGTGTCTTAACAATTATTATCAAAGACTTTACAAACAGAGCAGCCATGTTTTTCGGTGCTTCAGAGCTCGACTTGAGTCCAGTTACATGACTTGTTGTGGAGCTTAACTGTCTTTTTGTTCACCAGGTTTTGCCTACTGTTATATTGTGTTCCATATTTTTGATTAAAACGTCTGAATTGGAGGAAAAAATGTCATTTAGAATTAACTGAATTATGACAACGCTTGAACCTGCTGAAGCATGAATGTGTGTCTGGTGAATCAGTCGCCCCCAAACTAACTGCGTTCGTCCTTCTTTTTTCTCAGCTGCTGCCGCTGCCAAAGCTGCTCCCTCCCCGGCTGCAGATCCTCCACCTGCAGCAGCTGCCACTCCTCCACCTCCTCCTCCTCCACCACCTCCTCCACCACCTCCAGCACCACCGCAGGCTGCTCAAGCCAAACCCGGTGTGTTACCTCGTCTCACATTGTTCACTTATTTAATGTGCAAGCAAAGCGTTGGCCGACAGGCAAACGACGAGCACAAACAGAAACGCGCTGCAAAAGGAAAACGCTGCATATCCAGTCACACAGCAGAAGTGCCCCAGGCCTCTAGGGGCAGTAGTGAGCTGTTCATCTGAGAGGCAGACGTCGGCGAGCGAGACAAGTAATGTTAGTTGAGGGAAAAGCCAACCCAGTCTCACGGCAATTCGTGAAATAGTCACGAAGCTTACTCTATTGTTTCATGTCCTGGGACACGATTTGCCCAACTTTGTCGTGTTCCCCAGCTCGTCGAGGCTAGCTACATTAGCTATTAGCCTAGCCTAGCTGCTGCTGCTGCTTCTTCTACTGCCCCTAGAGGCCTGGGGCATTTCCATTGTGTGGCTGGATATGCAGCGGTTTCTGTTGATACAACGCATTCATGTACATGCAGCTCGTTTGTGTAGATGCCGTCGTTTGCCCTCGTCGGCCACCATAGCGTTCACAACAGAGTACAAACCTGTGCCATGTTCAATCACATCAGTGTCACATGATTCAAAACTGCATCGTGTCACGATAACCGCAGCCCTTCTAAGCGAAACCTTTGGTGTTTGCTCTGATGTAAAATAAAAAACTAACAGTTCAGACCGACTGAAAGAAAAGCCTCACAGACAGAATTCATCGCAGCACAAATCCGTACATCTTTTATCAGTGAGATTCAAATCCTTCCAGACAGACTGAATCCTCCTCGGCGTTGTAGCTCCTCATGTTCAGCGGCTTCTCGCTGGAGGGCTTGTGTTGCTCTGCCTTTCTCTTTTACCCCAAAGGTGTTCTGTTGGATTCAAGTCAGTCGACAGACTTCTCAGGATCACAGTTTTCATTTTTTGTACTCTTTAGAATCTCTTGTGTGCTTTGAATGGTTAAGCGCGAATCTTCCTCCTGTGCGTCTCGTTAGTCAGTATGATGGCGTCTTCACAGGCCGTTAAGGTGCATCTATAAATGCCGTCTCCCCGACACATTTTGCCCTCATGCAGTCACATTCCTACCTCCGTGCTTCACCGTCAGGACTGTGCATTAACTGTAGGCTTAACAAATCTACCGCGGTCTCATCTGACCAAAGAATGTCCTCCCGGTACTTATTAAAGGATATTATTATTATTATTATTATTATTATTATTATAGGCTTCTTGTCATGTTCTTA